CCTGGCCCGGACTGGCTTCTGAGTGGATAGTCAGTGCCTGAGGGAAGCTGCAGGAGGGAGAAGGGGTCTTGAGGTTCACATGGATAGACAGTAGACAGTCTTTTTTGCCCATCCCGCATGCGAATTGCCTTCTTTGGGGAATCCCTCACCTTATTAAACAGAACCTGCTTTCCACTATAAAAGTTAAAACTGCCAGGCAATCACTTTCCAGCCTCTCTTGCAACTAGGGCACTGCTAAAGAAGCCAGGACTGAGCTGACTCCATGCTGACGAGGGTGGGCAGCGCAGCAGGAATATTAGTGGCAGCCTTCAGAGTGCGGCTCGGAGAGGTTGGTGTGCTGGATGCACAGTCTGTGCCCAGTGCCTGGGGCAGTGGGGTCTTTATGGTTCTAGTTCAGTGGCATGAGTTTGTCTTTTTAGCCCTCCTGGAGAATTTATGGACTATCCAATATCCTTCAGTAAATTCCTTTTCTGCTTAAATTAGCCAAATTCAGTTTCTATTCCTTGCATTTTCCCTGACTGATGAGAAAATTTGTAACCTGAAGTAGTTGAGTAGTTGTCATCAAAAGGCCCTCAGGGAAATAAAGGAAAAAAGGAAGAAAGAGAAGAAATCCAGGACTGGTTATATAGCCTGGCTACGTCTCCAAGCAGCAAAATTCCAATTAATGTAAAGGATGAAGCTGGCGTGGTGGCTCACACCTGTAATCCTAGCACTCTGGGAGGCCGAGGTGGGAGGATTGCTTGAGATCAGGAGTTTGAGACCAGCCTGAGCAAGAGTGAGACCCCATCTCTACTAAAAATAGAAAAAATTAGCTGGGCAACTAAAAATAGAAGAAATTAGCCGGGCATGGTGGTGCATGCTTGTCATCTACTCAGGAGGCTGAGACAGGAGGATTGCTTGAGCCCGGGAGTTTGAGGTTGCTGTGAGCTAGGGTGACTCCATGGTACTCTAGCCCAGGCAACAGAGTGAGACTCTGTCTCAAAAAATAAAATAAAATAAAATAAAAAATAAAATAAAAAAATAAAATGTCAGGATAGGGAAGGAGAACATTGAATTTTCCAGGAATTGCTTAACTTCAACCCTAGAGATGGTCTGGAGCCATTAGCCCTTAGGAGTGGTTATGCCTTGCAATTCATCAGTAGCCACAATTCATTGCCTATTTAATAGTCCTTTCATTATAAAAGGCCTCTTTTTGGGAACTCAGGAGAAAAGTCAGGAATTAATTTGACGAGAAAGAGTACACCCTGTGGAATCAGACAAAAGGATCAAGCCTGTGAAATTGTATTCCCAAAACCCACACAAAACAAGTTCCAGGGGAAATTCTCCCCGGTCCCCAAAGTTCACAAGAGATCTCCATTTACCCCATTTCTTAAGGTTCCTCTCTGGATTTGGGGTGTGTCTCATTACCACCCCCACCACTACAACAAAACTTGCCAATGCAATACTGTCACTAAACAAATTTACTGGACTGATAAGCATGTGTTATCAGGGAAAGCCCATTTTAACAGGGGCCCTCTGAAATCAGTAGCTTCCTAGAGAGGGACTCTACATGCAAATACCATTTGAATCTGTTTCCCCTTTCTTATCTTGGTTCCAACTGGAAGCATTTATTATTAATAAAAGTTGAGAAGTCTAAAAACTATGATCAAAATATCCAAAGTTTTTAATGAAATAGATGGCAAACATCTTACAATTTCTCCATAGTGCCAGTCAGCCTTGCTCTTTACTAAATTTCTCCTGAAGATTACCTAGACTTCTCTGTGCATTTCCTAAGCCACCTGCTAGAGCTGAGGATAACCTGTTTCGTGCAGGGGCCCCTCTACTCCCGTCCAGTCCTAAAGGCCAGAACCCACCACTCCAGTGGAGTCCGGAGCGTGGACAACTGGGGATCATGGGTGTTGGCCTGGATCCTCCAGATGGCAGAGAATCCCAGTAAGGTAAAGGATTACTTTGGAGGGGAGCTTCTGTGATGGTTAATTTTATGTGGCAACTTTCCTAGGCCGTAGTACCCAAATATTTGGTTAAATGTTATTCCAGATGTTTCTGTGATGGTATGTTTTAAATTACTAATAACAGTTAAATCAGTGGACCATGAAGAAGATTACCCTCCTTAAAGCGGGTGAGCCTCATTCAATCAGCTGAAGGCCTTAACAGAAAAAAGACTGACCTCCCTAAGCAAGAAGAAAATCCTGCCAGCAGACTGCCTTTGGACTCTGCAGGAAGCCAGGGCAGAAAAGGAGGAAAATGTCTGTCCCCTCGTGTTACTGAGGGAAACATGCTCCAACAGGTATGGAACACTCCTGGGAGGGGTGGAGAGCCTGAGTGGACTTCCTGCCATTTCAGGTAGGGTTAGAGTCCAAAATACATATTGTTCCATGACTTTTGAGTTTCTGGTTTTAGCTCAAGGCTGTTGTAGGGTGTATAAAGGAGGACAAAATAGAAATGCCTCCAAGTGGAGAAAGGGAGTCAACAGTCTTTATTTGAGCTGCTAAATGCTGGGAGATAACTGTCCATAGGGCTCTCATGTTTCTGCACATCTAGGAGCAGAGGCACTGACAGCCTTCGTTCCAGACTATCTCTGTGGAAGATACAGATAGTGTCTGCCTCAGAGCAGAGGGCAGGTCTGCTTACCATCCGGGATAATAAAGACAATGCCTCCCTCTAGGCAAAGGTTGGGTTTCTTAAGCTCAGGGTTTCTCAGCTATGTGTGTGTGGCATCTGCCTGGACAGCTTCACATTGCCCCATGGGTCTTGAGGGGTGGGGGAGGGCCAGGGGAACCAGCCTGAACGTGAGGCTTGGGCTCCTTGCTCTGCTCTGAGTAATAACGTCCTTCGCCTCTGGGCCAGGAGCCTCATGTCTTCTGTCAGTGTCCAGAACCACCCTTCAAAGTTTTGTTTTTTGTTTTGTTTAAATAGAGACAAAGTCTTGCTCTGTTGCCTGGGCCAGAGTGAAGTGGCGTCATCACAGCTAACTGTAACCTCCAGCTCCCGGGCTCAAGGGGTCCTGCTGCTTCAGCCTGCCCAGTAGCTGAAACAACAGGTGCACGCCATCACTGCCTCACTAGGTATTTGCCTTCTGAGACGTAAAAAATTAGTTTAGTTCTGGCTTTTTTTTAACATGCCCTTATAGTGGATGAATCTTATCCACACTGTGCCCTACTGCAGTCCTACCTGAGGTAGGGTTTTAGGCCAGTTGACTTATCCAGACCCCTTCCAATATCAGAATGCTTTGGCTTTCTATAGATCTGGCTTTCTACGGAGGCACAGAGCAACCAGACAAAACGTGACTGTTTTATTGACGTAAAGACAAACGCCGAGAAGTGCTGAGTTCCATGCCCGGCAGTGCTCTGCTTGCCATATGGAACAGGCTGTTAACTACAAGAAGGAACATGAGCTGAGTTAAAATTTGAAAAGACTGTGATCTACGGAGCAACGAGACAGAGGTGATAATAGCGAAATAGTACTTGGCCATGAGATGAGTCTAGCAATGCTCAGTTCGGTGATGGGCAATGAAATATAACAGAAAGCTCTATCTCTAGGCACCTTATATTATCCTCTCAAAAATGTACTTATTCAAATCATTGAAATCGTAGCGCCAAGAGAGTAAGTTAATCTAATTAAGCTTTTAGAAACAAGTGCTAAGTTTGAGCATCTCTAGCCTTCATCAGTGGGATTGGTCAACATATCCCACTGATTTATAGAAACAAATATAAACTATTATTTAAACATTTTGGGTTAGTAAAGGGAAGGTCACTGTAAAGTAAACTTTTAGGCCATTCATCTTTTAAAGTATCTTTAAATAACTCAAATCCTCTGCTCAAAACATCTAAGCCTAAATGATGAAATGGAATGAATGAAGATATAGTATGTTTTGTGTGACTTAATAAAATGGTTTTGGCAGATCTAGTGAATAATTTTGTTTAGCTTCTTTTATAATTAATATTTGAAAAGAATTTAGACAGACATTGAAGAAGGATCTAAGAGAATGTATTTCCGTGTGTTGCTGGAGATGCGCTTTATCCAAAGATGGCATTATCTGAAAAAATAAAAAAAAGCATTTGTTGCATAACTTTTAATACATTTCATAGTTTTCAAAATAACCCTGGAAGGCCCAGCATTGTTTTTCAGATACAGACACTAAGGTTCAGGAACACTAAGTGACAAAAAGCATGAGACTAGTCAATGGCAGAGGCAGAACTTGCACCCAAATCTTGTGTTTTTAAGGCTACATATTTAAGTGACACTGCCCTTCTAGTGGCTTCCCCATCTCCAAGTGGGAGACTGAAGAGAGAGCTTGGCGATCTCTGGGTAAGAAGACTCCTCGCCTGGCATTCACATCACTAGTGAGAGAAGCAATGAAGAGCCCCCAGCACTCTGAGTGCTCTTAGCAAAATCCCTAACCTCCCTCCTCCACAACTCTCATGGCTTTCCCACCACGTTTGACTGTCAGGACTAATCTCATTCTATCCCTTATCTCCGTTTACACCAGCTAGCTCAAGGAGGCCCCCAGGAGGCCTGGATACTAATCCCCACACAGCTCCAGGGACAGAGGGCACCCCACCCAGCACTTCCCACCCCCCACCCCACTGCTTTTATGTTCCCTATAGCACCTATCCACTTATCACTCTCCGACAAATATGTCTATTTTTTAACTTGATCTGGTTCCACCCTATAAAATCTAAGCTTTTTGAGGCAGGGGTTTTATTCAGCATTGTATTAACAAACACATAGAACAGCGCTTGACAGAAAGTAGGCACCCACAAATATTTGTTGAATGAATGAAGAATAAATGAGCGTTTCTTCCTCTCACATAGGTGTGCAAAGGAAAAGAGCAGAATGCCTTCTAATTCTTATTGTGTGTGTCCAGAAAAATGTACCTTATTATTATCCTCTTCCATTTCTAAAGATGATTCTACAGCATCCAAGGTCGCTGTGGGAAACTAAGTTTGAGCGCCATCACCCAAGGGCATGGCTACTGGTCTCAAGAGGAATGAGGTAAGATCCACCACTGCTTCTGGAAAAGTATATTCTATGTCCCAATATTTGTTCAATCAGCCAACAACTATTTCCTGAGTGCCTAATTTGTGCCAGCCAGGGTTCTAGAGGCAGAGGATGAAGCAGGGAAAAAACAGAGACCATCCCTCTGCTTTCCAGGAGCGTAGTGCTCCTTATGGAATGATAAACACTACCGGGGAAGAGAAGGCTGGGCACGGGGCTGTAGAGGACTGGGGAGTGCTGTATGGATACGGTGGTCTCTGATGAGTGGATTTTGAACAAGGATCTGAATACAGAGAGAGAGGGAGAGGTCCAGGCAGAAGGAACAGCATGTGCCAAGTCTCTGAGCTGGGAACCAGCTTGGAAGGTCCCAGGAACAGGAAGAAAGCCGTGGTGGCTGCGTGGATGAGGCTGGGGAAGAGTAGAGGGGATGAGTTTGAAGAATAAGCAAGGACTGTTCATGGACCTGTAAGTGCAAGCTGAGGAGTGTGGATTTTATCCTGAGTGTGGTGTGAAACCACAGGTGAGTTTTGAGCAAGAAGTGACATATCTAATGTATGTTTTTAAAAGACGACTCAGGCTGTTGTGTGAAGAAGTAAGTGTAGGTGGAGCAAGAGAGGGAGCTGGGGGTGGTTGGGAGGCCCCTGCTGTACTTCCGGAGAGAGGGGACCAAGGGTGGACCAGGGTGGCAGCGGTGGTCAGACTCCAGGTTGATTCTGAAGAAGGAGTTGACCGGACCTGCTGACAGAAGGCATGTGGGATGTGAGCGACAGAGAGGAGTCAAAGGTGCTTCTAGATCTGTGACCATTCTCTGAGGTGAGGAAGACGAGTGGGGTGAGGGCAGGGGTGGTTAGTGTGTGTGTGTGTGTGTGTGGATGGGAATAGGGATTATTTTTTCTGCAATGGCAAATGTGAGGTAACATCAAGTAGAGGGGGCAATCTAATAGATATGTCTGGAACTCAGCAGAGAGGTCAGGGCCAGAAATAGAAATGTGGGAGTCATCAGACAGAGATGACATTTGAAGTCCTGCCAGTCGTCTAGACTGAGATCACCTAGAGAATATTGAGAGTTGGTGTTTCTCAACATTCAGAGGACAGAAGAGGGCCATCCTATGCTTTTTTATTTTTTATGTTTGAGCACAACTGCTTATAAGTGCTGTCTCATATAAAGAAGATGTTACTTTACAGTGAATGATGTTTATCGCTGGATTTAGTGCACATTTGATAAGGGCCAACCAGACTAGTAAGTACATTAAATTTTAGAGGTAATATCCCATCTCCTCATTCTGCAACTGAGGATTCTCTCTTTGCATCTTCTGGCCTCCCAGAGGGTTCTCTCTCCTCTGTTCTCAGTCTAGTGAAGCAGGACTGACGGTTTGGTTGGGGATGGGGAAAATTCTTCTCAGGGCTGAGTTCACATCTGGCTCTTGTTGAGCCGATTCCTCCAATACAGATTTGTTTTTCAAGACTAAAGCTGGCATCTTTGTCTCCATCTACCTCTCAATTGATCCAAACTCACGTTAGGAATAAAAGGGTATTATTGTCGACCTTTTCAGACCTTAACAGTATTCAGAATAAAGGAGGCACACAAAAAAATGTCAGCACCTTTCTCTAGCCCCACGTACTTACCAATTGTGGAAATAAAAAGAAAGTAAGCCCCTAATATCTCTTTTTATCCTTGATTAGAATTAAAGTGGACCAGTACCTGTTAGGAACGAGGCCACACAGCAGGAAGTGAGCGAAGCTTCATCTGTGTTTACAGCTGCTCCCTGGTGCTTGCAACACTACCCAAGCTCCGCCTCCTGTCAGATCAGCAGCAGCATTAGATTCTCATAGGAGCCTGAACCCTACTGTAAACTGCGCATGCGAGGGTTCTAGGTTGCGTGCTCCTTATGAGATTCTAACGCCTAATGATCTGAGGTGGAGCTGAGGCGGTGATGCTAGCGCTGGGGAGCGGCTGCAATACAGATTATCATTAGCAGAGAGGTCTGACTGCACAATAAATGTAATGCTTTTGAATCATCCTGAAACCATCCCCCCACCCCGGTCCGTAGAAAAATTGTCTTCCATGAAACCAGTCCCTGGTGCCAAAAAGGTTGGGAACCACTGCACTAAAAGCACTCCTCCTTGTAAAAGAGTTATTTTTTAAGTAAAATAAGTGCATAACCATTACAGATTAACTTTAAGACACAATGGAGACTGAGCTTTCCACGCCACCCTGTATCACACTCGATTACACTTACTAAGAGCACTAGGCGGATGTAAAGTCACAGCCACATCAAAGAAGTTAAAGCTCAAATGTGGCGATTCTTTTGTTTCTGACCTAAATTAACAATTCGTTGATTGTATTCAATGTGATTAAACACTCGCACACCCTTTTTTCCCAAATAAATGAAAAAATACTATCAGTTGCCTCCTTGACTAAGAAGCAAGTATTCACAATCGAGATATTCGTCAGCTCCCCTTCCTCCTCTTGCAAAATAATACGACCACCACACGCACCTCCAACCTCCTCCCACTTTTCATTAGTGCTTCTCAGGGCTTTTTGTGTAATGTGTGTCATCAAAATCATCTCCATCGTACCTCAATTTTGCACATGAAATGTTTTGTAAGAGCAACAGAAATTGGTGAGATAGGAGGAGGTCTCTGAAGTTTTTGTGGTCTATTGTAATTATCTATAACAACTTTTCTCAAAAGGTGGTTCTCGGGGCATCATTGTCAGCATCACCTTACTCTGCTGAGAATGCAGATTCCAAGATCCAAACTGGAGCCTACCAAATGAGCCAGCCTGGGATCCTGTACACACAAGAAAATGGGAGTCTCGGTCTATAATAGATCTTTTATCAACTAGCCTAGTTTAATGAGCCTTTTACTTTTAGACAGATTGCCTTTAAACTACCCCAGGGCGGTACTCGTGAACCTCTTTCAACCGCAAAAATTCTTGCTAAGTTTACTTCTAAATCCTTCCCATCCATTGTGTAGGAGTCCTACCATAACATCTTACTTTTTGGTGGAAAGTGCCTTCTCTCGTTGTAAACAAGGAGACTCAGTTTGACCCAGGAGCTCCTGCCACTGTCAGGAACAGGTTCTTTGCTTGTGGTGTGAGTACAGGACCCATAGGCACAGCTGAAGTGCCTCTTTTGAACTCTCAATAAGCTGACTTGATTGCTTCTTTCCACTAAGCAGTTGGATTCACGCTTTTCATTGATCTCCTCCAGGAGTTGTCGTTTGCTTACTTTAAGTTTTTTCATTATTTCACTGGTTTTATCTATAGCTGCTATTGCGCTAACGAATCAATTGTCGAGTGATTCTTGCTGTCCTGCGAACAAATGAAAAATACGATCAGGTGCCTGCCAGACTTAGAAGCCAGGATTCACAATCATATTTATCAATTCCTCTTTCTTCTTCTGCAAAATAATACCAGCACCGCTGTGCCTCCCACCCCACACCTCACTTTTTACTATTTTTTTCTAAGGTTTTTTCTTTGTCTTTTTTTTAGGTTTTCTTCAGGGAAAAAAAAGGTTATGAAAAGGATACAATAAGAAAATATATTTTGTTTTTGAAAATAATACTACGCACTGATTTTTGCTTTTAGGAATATTTGTTGTTTCCTCTGATTATAAAAATAATACATGTTCATTGCAGAGTGTTAAGAAAATACAGAAAAGGGCCAAGCATGGTGGCTCATGCCTGTAATC